AGGATCAATTTTTTATACATTTTTTGGGGGGGTCGACCTCCCCCCCCCCTGGGATTGTTTGGGACGGCTAATGGGGAACTCTCAATTATCCCTCGGCCACTTTACCTTGCTCACATGACATCACCTGTATTCGAAGGAGAAGACGCAATTCACTAATAGGCACTGCACCAATTGCTGGCGTGGAGGTTCCTTGGAGTGTTATCGTGCGCTTCAGGCTACCGGGGCCAACAATAAAAAGACTGGACAGACTGGACAGTGTTTTTACAAGGACGCGAAGCCGCAGCCCATGGCGGACGCCCGGCAATCAAGGCGAAATGGTACTTAATTGCTGAAACCCTCTGGCTTTTCTTGGCTATGCCAACAGACACCATGTGGCAGGTCTAAGGTTTGGAATGCAGTGGTGGAATGTTTAGAAGTCTTTCTAAATCAAGCTCCTTGGCTATGTCATTACTGTACTTTTTACTTCGATCGTTTGTGTCACTAGTCACTTATGATGCAAGTCATTTGACCGGAAGGCTCTTTACAACCAGAGCCAGAAGTGCCACAGCACGTGCTGCAGCTGCAATACCACGTGTCCTTTTCATGCAAAATACACACAAATGCATCTTACAATCCAAGGTAGGATGGTAGGCTGAGTTAGTTGATACTCAATTCCCATAGTGTGAAAGATATGCCTCAGCAAGATTTCTGGAATGCTTCGAGTAAATAGGGAGTATATAAAGGGTAATAAGGGATAGCCTGCGGCTTGGCAATGTCCTTTGCGAGCAAGTCAAAACCCATTCCGGGATGTTTGGCATTTGCCTCTCGACATTTGCTTAGGAAAAGACAGAAAGCTCCTGGCAGCTTGCTACCCCAAAGGAGGACACAGAAAGCTCCTGGAAGTGTGTTGTCCCAAAGGAGGAGTCAGAGACCCCTTGGAATGATGAGCAGCCGGTTGTACCACCAGAGAAGACCGAGCAAGCCTGGGAGGATGGAGGCCTGAAATTTGTGTTTGCATTTGCAGGTATTAGAGCTGTAGTTCTTTTTGCCTGCTAGACAGCCCTAATTAATAGCTGAATTAATAGCTGAAATTGTTGCACATGCGCCCCAGTAGGGGCTGAGTTTGGCAGGATGGTCTGAGAAGGGCGAAAGCTGGGACTGGAAAGATTGGAAGAAAGGCTGGGTTGGTTGAACATATTTGTCGTTCATACATGCAGATATATTTGATATGTGATGGTGTTTCAATTTGTTTGGCCCAGGTTGCTGGTGATCTAGTGAAATCTGTGGAAAGATACTTGAGTGCTGAGCTTTTTCAGGGTTGGATGGCGATTGGTCTCAAGACTGGTGGTCAAAGGAGCGCATCATGGACGCAGTTATGTACAATGATAAGCCTTGAACTCTTGACTTCACAATGGCGCATCTCATGATACCTCATGTTGTTGTTTTCCTTGCTGTTTTTTTGGTCAGCTTTCTACTTTTTGCCAGAGCGGTTCCACATGCTTCTGCGCATCGGCCTTTTTATCGGAGGACGCCAACAAGGACTCCAACAAGTCTTGGAAGCAGAAGCGCTCAGACAACAACCCTGCTGTATTGTACCCTCAGGCAATATAATTTTTGCTGCTGCATTTGCAATCACTCTCCCGTTACTTTAGGGGGCCTTCTTTCGAGCACGCCCGTGAAAGAAGCAGCGCCAAAAGCGTGCACGAGCATGCTGTGCCGATGCGCAGTTTGTTGCCTGTTTGTGCTGGTGCTTACAGTATGCCGTTTGGGCAGGCCTACATCTCAGATATCCCGGTCGAGTTTGCCGCTGGGATTCGAGTTTTGTGGCGTGATTATCTCCAGTGAACTCATCACCACAATGCAGTCTGACTGCCTAGATCTGCCTGGGCCTAGCACTAGGAGAAATCCAAATGGCTCTCACGCGATGCAAGGGTGAAAACTGAGAAATCAAATCTTGGAAGATTGCAGGATGATTCTTAAAATGTTGTTTGCCATTGTTGGCCCATACATGAATTGCTGAAAAATGATGTTGATGTTGCCCACGGTTCCGGCTCAGGATGAGGAGAAAGTCAAAAGGATGCACAGAGAATGCGGCGTTGCGGATGAGGATATGCCTATCTCAATCAAATTCTTGCCATCCAAGGAGTGAAGGGAAACTACGGCGCGCAGTATTGGCGTTTGCAAGGCTACATTTGACCGACTTTCATCACCTGATGTTTACTCACGCTAACAACAGGCCTTTGAAGTCCTTGGAATCTCTATTCGCTGGTGCTGATACAGTATCCCTACTCTAAGCTACTGTAACTGTAAGTTTGGTTGTGGGTTTTGTCACTTTCAGTTGCCCTGTGTTTCTTTGTTTGCAGACTCGTTTGATGCGGGTCATCGTCAATCAACCAGCCCTGAAACTAGAGGCCGCCCGTCCATTTTGGACTTTTAGTCTAGCTGCTGCTTTCAGAGTTAAACATTAAACATGTCTCATGGGTTGATTGCTGAATGCTAGCAGGACGCTACAGGGGAAACCTGTTCTTGCATTGTGCGCTACAACAGGGAGGACACCTTGGAGCACGTTCTTCACAAGATGCTCGCCATAGGATGCTGATGGGCTTGGACATGCTGCTTTACTCCTTTACAGGTTGTTGCTTTTGCCATTGCATCAATCAATGATTGATTCAGACTTGTGGAAATTCTTGTGCTCACTGGGCCATCGAAAGTGCTGCCTTTCTGCTTGATATCAGTTCCATGATCCTAATTAAGGATGCATGGGCAGTTTCTGCTCACAAGAAGCGGCAAGCAAAAAATGGTAGGCAAGCATCGGAACTACCTGTGGTCCGTTTCGGGTTCATGGATAGCGGTGCAGCCGCATTTGCAACATTCTCACCTCATCGCAAACTTCCTTGAACCGATCTCACAAGGAGCATGTTCTGAAGCAAAGCCTGTTCACCAGCTCCTTGGTGTTTTCCCTGAAATTTTGTTTGTATACAGATTATTGACTCAAGTCCAAGTGGGTTTGTACGCTTGAAGTCCTTTCATGATTGGCCATGTCCCAAGTTCAATGCGTTGGCCAAGTGCAAATGTCGGGTGAACTTGAATTAGTAAAGCCACTTACCAAAGATGTAAATCTAGACAGTTGTCATGTTACATTGGAGGAGGTCAGTGCCAAAACGGCATGAAGAGTGGACTTCCTGCACAAATCAAACCAGTGGGACTTGCAACAAGACTTAACAAGTCGGCGAAAGATGTGACACTGATTTTTGGCTGACGAACTTGTGCACCGAGAGTTCCCACTCGCAGGTGTCAAGAGGGCACGGCCTGCACAGTGGATGATTAAGGCTTGTCCTGTCGGCGAATAGTCACAAGTGCTGATTCGGTGTAGACCTTCTGGAAGCACAA